GTTCATAGCTACATATATGTATATGTAGATTTAATTAAAAAAATTCCCATTTATTTTAAACAAATGTTATTAAAGGGCCATTTAAATGTATGAATTTTCCGTGTTTAATTTTAGGGGGGATTTTTTTTATTTATTTATTTTTTCTAAAGCTTTAAGGCAGTTTTTTGGCCACCCCCGTTCTATCTTGGGTCCTTTCAGAACAACAACATGGCGGTCCTACACCGGTGGAAGCGGATTCAATGTTTACACGTTTTCACAAGAAACCTCACGGGTAAGTTGTATTACTTATGTTTTAATTGTGTTTGTGTAGCTTTTGTGCACTACGTCTATAACATYAAAGTTTCACTAAAACAGCGCAAAYTCGCAAATAATGCGGGTTTTACCTGCGGAAAGTTACTCTGTGTCTGTTTCAAACCTTGTGTGTTTAACGCAAAGCAATTACAACTCGGCATGTTTGCTGGTTTGTGATATGAATTTCTTGAAGGGATGATAGGGCTTTGTTTAAACTAGTAAATATTGAAGGAGTGACTAATGCCTGCTGCCTTGCATCAAGAGTTTTAGACAGAAATCTTGTGGGATCACCACTGTATTATCACTCAGTATGTTTATTTATTTTTTATTTATTTAACCTTTTATTTATCCAGGTAAACTGTTTGAGAACCACTTCTCATTTACAAACATGACCTGGCCAAGAGGCTGCATGAATGAATAAATATGCAATAATACATAGTATGTGTAATAATATACTGTATAGTATGTGTTCAAATATCTCATCTACTATCAGCTCAGTGTTTGTCACAATGGAAGAGTTGTTGTCTTTTTAGTGTTTGATAAGGTTGTTTAGCTTTGACCATGTTAAACCAGGTTGACTCTAGAAGTTACTCTGTTGTAGTTACAATGATTACTTTCAGATATCATCTTTAAAAGACAGACAGGTTGACTCTAAGGATGGTTGCAAACGTGCTGCAGACCATCCTATTGAAGAGAGGATATAGTTTGTCACTGATCGAAGCAAACCACACTCAACAAAATCTGTGTTGTGTTGGAGTGTTGTAAGGAGATTTTCCTTAGAACAGAGGCCGGCAACCCGCAGCTCCAGAGCCACATTATGTTTTCTTGCCTTGAAGTGTTTTTTTTAGTTAAATTTGTATTTGTTTTATTAACTTTTTAGTTGTGCAGTTATCTTGAATGTTGACATGATACTTTAACATTGAATTTAAAAAAGGTTTTATTTAACTCCCCAGACCAACAATGTCTGCCCCACACTGGCCGCCCAGGAGCTTCAAACAGCAGCTCACTGCTCCACATGTSTGCTCAGATGTGCAATGAGAACAATGCAGAGAATTTATTTCCCAACCGAGTGACAATAAAAGTTATTAAAATAAATTATGTAAATAACATATTGTTATATATGGTGACAGTGTTTTTATTAAATTTATTTAAATACATGACATATAGTTTAAAATTAATTGAGTTAATCTGACTCATCAGAGTTCATTTCTAACATTACCTTCCTTGCAAATTTAAGTTCCTAACCCTACATCAGTTCTGTCCCATTCTGCATGAGCAAATATTACTTTATAAGACATTGCTGTGTATTTCTTCATTGATTCAGAATGAACCTAACTGGAAGTGATGACTCATCACGATCACTCAAAATCTTCCAAAAATATCATGGTACATGGTACATTTGTGTTGTGTTTGCTTGGTGCAAAATAATAATTGGACCTGTTTGAAAAATCTAACAAATCTTAATATCAGACAAAGTTAACATGAGTAAATAAAAAATCAGTTTTAAAATCAGGATTTTATTTATTATGGGAGCAAAAGCAACCCAAACCAACTTGGTCCTGTATGGAAAAGTGATTGCCTCCTAGCCTGGCCCTTGCCTTCCTACGCAGTTCCTCTCAATAGCGTTGGTCCGAGATGACATCACGTGAATTTCCGGAAATCCCCGAAGTCCCGAATGTCAAACATATTTTGCAGCGGACCCCATTCATTATGGCTGAATCCAAAGCATTTTTGCACGTAAACCTAAATGAAGATGACGTTCCCGGCGCCAAAATAGTTTGGTTTTTTTTTTTTGGAGGAATGCAGCAACACTCAACTAAAGCGGTGGTTACAATGCAGAGGACTGAAAATGTCCAGAAACTGCATTGAATTGATAAAAAGGTAAGAGCGTCCCTGTTACCCGGTGTTAGCTGCTAGCTGTTAACAAGATATGCTGTCTGCCTGAGAAAAACAAATGAGAAAGTTGTTCGATACCTTACAGGAGCTGTCTTCTAATTTAATCTTATAAACTTCGTTAATTCTTAATTTTTGTTTATCTGTTTTTTTATTTTGTTTACAGATGTAATTTTATTGTGTCTGTGAAGCACTTTGGTCAACACTGTTGTTTTTTAAATGTGCTATACACAAAGAAAGTGATGATGTATGCTTTTGTGTTTTGGATTATTTGTAATTTGACTGTTATTATTTCCTTGTCTTCATAAAATTTCAACATTTACTTTTTTCTGCTCCTACATAGGTGCAGGGCGTGTTTTGCTAGCGGTGACCACAAAAAGCTTGTTATCACAGTTGATGATGGGAAGTGGTTTGCCATGAAGATCTCCCAGCTCCAAAGCCACAGTAAAGAACCACAGACCATATCTGCAGTGCCAGTGTCCCCTGTGAACAACTGGGGAAATTTTCCCTCTCACCCGGTTTCAGGGATGTCCAACTATGGACACATTTACCATTTTGTGTTGGAATCCATAAAGTTTGTTAATCCAGAGGAGAATGGCAATGATMATGAAATGTCATTGGCTTGGCTATATTAGCATGTCCAGATTTTTTGAATGTACTTGAACTATTTTGGTTGTCAGACAGAAGTCTATTCAGTGACATCATTTGTGCACAGCTGCTACTACTAATCATCTTTGATTCTTTATTAACTGTTTTTTGTTATTTAAAAAATATTCATTTATTTGAATGCTGTGTACAGTGTACACTGGTGGTTTTTGAATAAAAGAGCAAAATCGGCAATTTGTGATCATTTTAGTCAGAAAAGTACATCAGGTTTGTGTAACGTGTACATGTCACTTAAATTATTTACAAGTTTGTATATCAAACCATTTTTTCAAGATCCAATTAAACAAAAAGATGCATAGTATTTACATAGAACCAAAACATGGTTAATGTTAGTTGTAAACCACAACATTTTTACTTTCTAAATTACAGGTAGAAGCGCAATTTAAAAAATATAAAAATGAAATTATTCCAATGCATAAGTCCACAACATAACTAGGATTTAAAACATTAATTGTTCATTGCCCTGACATCGCTCTGTATTTGTTAAAAAAACATCACGTCAGAGACCTGACTGTTAAGTTAAAATATTTACAAAACTTACGGTAGTTTGATGAAGTTTTCTATACGTAAACAGTACAATGAAAACATCATAAACACAGGGATAACAACCTAACTCAATAACTTTCATTTAACAATTTGATCCTGGAAATTTACCAGACAACAGGCAACAAATACTGCTTGGTTAGCAATGGGAGCAATGCTCAGTGGAACTATACCAGACATGAGCTTGTATTTTTTGACTCTTTCCATGTACCTTTCCACATGAATGCTAGCCTTGGCTATGCGCCTAGTAGGCAGCTCTTCCTGAGGAGTCAGCTTCTCCTTGCCCATCAAAAAAGGTGGGATATTAAGCTCTACCTGTTTCTGCTGAAGAAATTCTTTCACAGTTAAACCTCGATCAGCAAGAACCAGATCTCCAGCATCCAAATAATCCATGGTGCCACACTTTTCAAACAGCTGTTTGTCACTAATAGCTCCTTCATAAAGATCAGAAACAAAAACTCTGGTACCATTAGGAGCAACTGCTATTAATGCCTTAAAGGTGCAATTGTGTTTGTAGT